CTGAGTGACATGTTCCAGGCAGTTGCAAACAAAACTGAAGTCAAACCAGATAAAAGGGGAAAGGAATTTACTTACTCTTACAACTAAAACCCAAAAAAAGAAAAAAACTGCCTTCAGGCCTGAGTGGATCCCGGAGTCACCAGGAGTCTGCTGCTCTCCCCATCAGCTCCAACGTCCACTGCGAACTTGACCCCCAGGCCAGCTCCCCCTCTGCTGGCACGATGGCCCACATCTCAGAACCCCAGTCCGCCCACTCTCCACCGGCAGGAGAGGGCTTCTCCTCCGTGTCTCCCATAAAGCTCCGGGCGTGGACCCTTGTTGGATAAATTGGACACTAGAGTCACATGCCTTTTCCCAAATGACTCACGTAGCCAAGGGGATGGAATATGCCGATCGTCCAAGTCTGAAGGCTCTTACATTCATGGGCATCCAGATGTAAGGCTGGAATTCTGCCCCTGCTTAAAGAACATCTTGGTGGCTCGTCTCAGTGACTAAGAACTCATGGATATTGGCTGGCTGGGCCAGGGAGGTGGCAGGCCACCACGTCCCTTAAAAGCACGCTTACCTTGTGGAACAGGCACATTCCATCGACCCCTTGTGCTCAAATCAAAGCCAAGCCATGGCCCACAGGCCATGATGGCCCTCCGATCCCCTTGGATATTCTGGGGGGGGCGGTGTGTGCACAGCAGGGAACTGAATCCAACCTTCACTGCCGGGCAACCTCAGGAGGGACTGAGAAAGAATTAGAAAAATCGGGATGTCACAGTAAATTCAGTGCACCATGGAAACAAGTGGCAGAGGCGCGGGCTGTTCATCAGGGTGGGGTGATCTGCAGCTTCACTCCCACATCAACAGGACTGGAAACCCCCTCTAGCTGTGCCACGTGGGACCACCTCCCTGCATTCCGGGCTATGTGGCGCTGGTGTCTTTGCTCAGTAATAAAATCCACTAGTTCGGCCTTTGTGAACCCGTGAGTTCCTTTGGTACCCATTCTCTATTTCCCCAGCGGGGCTCACCCCACCTGCCCACCCCAAGTCACAGCTGAGGGGGCAGACGGCTCTTACGGCCGGGGTAACGCCCAGCCTCTCCGGCGGGAAGGCCGCGCTGTCGGGCATTGCCTGGTCTGCTGGCAGGGCCACCGCGTCTGCGGGAACTGGGGTCTGGAGCCGCAGATCCATCGCTCCGTACAGGCTCGGGCGACCTGACTGTCGGCCCCTCGGGCTGCTCTCCCCTGGCTGAAAGGACCTCTTCACACAACCACCGGGCCTATTTTCAGAGGACTCAGCTTCCAGGATACCGGTTTTGCTCTTGTGAAATGTCACTAAAGGTCTCAGGCGCCTCAGAAATCCTGATCACTTTCTTCAGCCCACTCTTAAGGCTCTCGCATAGGCTGAGTTGTGTCCCTGAATTCCTGACCCCCAGGACCTCAGGATGTGACTATATTTTGAAATAGGGCCTGGACTCAGAGGTAAAATGAGGTCATAGGGTGGTCCTAACCCAACATGACTGTGTCCTCCTTAGAGGAGGTCAGGACACAGACACGCACAGAGGGATGGCCACACGCCCAGGAGAGGCTCAGGGGAGCCGGCCCTGCCCACCCCTAGGTCTCAGCCTTCCTGACCCCAGGAGCGGGGGACAATGATGTCTGTTGTGTGAGCCCCAGGCTGTGGTGTTTGTTATGACAGCTGTACCAGATCCACACAGGCTTGTTCCTCAGGAAACACGCAGCGTGAGCTGACACCCAAGTAAAGTTTGTACACACAGAGTTGGCACAATGGCTGCCTTGTAGCAAGGATGGCCAATGTCCAGCCGGGCACCAAGGAAAGCTCTCTGCCAGCGCCCCACCACTCGGACCCCACCAGTCCCATGCATTACGCTTGCCATATGCAGCACCCTGCCACATATTTCCAGACAGCAGTTTCTGCATCAGCTAGGAAACTTTCAGCTGGAAATGACAGAAGCCACAGAAATTAGATCAAGCACACTCCTTCCCAGAGGTTTTTTTGGCACCCACAATTAAAGCCTGCAGGGTAAGATCTTACTTCAGGCATACCTGGAGATTGGGGTGATAAGGAACCTGCTTCCCCCGCCTCTCATCTTTGACTTTCCTTGTCAGCTAACTTTCCAGGCTTTGAGGATGAGTGAGCATGCCACCAGCATCCCTGTCCTCTGTTCTGCTGACAGCTGAACACCTGACAACAGCCCAGAGAAAGACGGGCCAGGACTGATAACTAGACTGACACAGGCCACATGCCCACCCGTGAAATAGTGACCTTGGTCAAGAAGGTGGAATAGGCTGGCCTGAGACTCACCATCCGTGAGCCCAGATGAAACACAGAGATGACAGGAAACCCAGGTAGTCTTCTCAGAGGAAGGCGGCATTAGTGCCAAGCAGGAAAAATAAGCAGATTTCCCTCCAGTGACTGGGGTTCCCTGAACACCTTGGTCTCCAAGGATCCCCATTCCTGGCTCCTCCTTCCACATACGTTCCCTTTAACGCCTCCCGCCCAGCCTTTGCCCCCACCTGGTGTCAGCATGCTTTCCACTCTCCCCCCCCCGTCCCTTCTGCAGCTGAGGACCACAGCCAGAAGCCATACCACTGCCTACAGGGTCCTCAGTCGTCGGCCAGCCAGTGACATCGGGATATGGACCGCTGTATTAGTTTCCTGTGGCTGCCGTAACAAAGGAGCCTCAGCTAGTGGCTTAAAACAACACACATTTATTATTCCATGAATCTGGAGGTCAGACCCCTGCACGAGGTCTTCAGGGCTAACGCCGCAGGCCGTGTCCCTCCTTGGAGGCTCTAAGGGGGAACCCGCCACCTCACCTTTCCCAGCCTCTGTAGCCGCCCAAATTCCTCGGCCTGCGGGCCGGCAGCTTCCGACCTTCGCTTCCGCCGCCACGCCGCCCTCTCTGACTCTCACCCTCCCGCTTCCCTCTCATAGGGATGCTGTGATTCCATCTGGGGCCCACCTGGATGACCCCCATCTCACGATCCTTAACTCAGTCAGATCTGCAGGGGCCCTTTTGCCGTGTAAGGTGACATCTTCACAGATCCTGGGGATTAGGACATTGCATCAGTCCCCCAGAGCCTGCCATGACAAAGTGCTACCAACCAGGTGGCTTCAATGATAGAAATGCGCCTCTCACAGCCCCGGAGGCAGGAAGCCTGGGGTCAGGTGTGGGCAGGACCATGCCTCCCTCCGGGTCCAGCTGGCTGGCCTGTCCATGTGTCGCTCCGAGCCTCTGTCCTCACACGGTTTTCCTTCAGCGCAAGTGTGTGTCCGCAGGTCCCCTTTTTACAAGGACACAGGTCATACAGGATTAGGGCCACTTTCTGAGGCCCTGGAAGTTAGGACTCCAACATACCTTCATCTGGGGGAGCAGCTCAGCCTGTAACAGCCGTGGCCACCTGCGGGGGCCATGATTCCCCCACCTCCACCTGCACCCCAAGGACTGTCCATCACTGCGGCAGGAGAAGGGCCAGGCTCTCGAAGCCGACCACTCCCTCAGGTAGCAGCCTGCCTGGGGCCACCTTAACTGATTGTCACCCAGAAGTGACAGAGCCGGGGAGCGGGGGGCGGGGGGGTGACAGCAGACCACTGAGGGTGAGCGAAGGTCACTTAGCCAAGGTCAGGCCACTGGCGGACTGGCACATGGCCACAGGGCTCTGGGTGCCCGGTTCTGGTCTCTGCCCACCAGGCCCCTGCGTAGACGGAATTCCAGGGAAACGGAAGCACCCGTGAGCCAGAGGCCTGCACCTGCACCAGCGACCCCCACACCCCGGGCTGCAGCCCTGCGCAGCGGTCAGGCTCAGGGCTCCCGCTCGGTTCCTCCGAGTGCCCCCTGGCACGGCCCCCCTGGGCAGGAGCGGCCCTTCTTGCAGGCCCCTGGGCCCCTCAGCTCTGCACACCCGCGCCTCATGCCTCTTCCTGCTTCTCAGCAGACAGGGCTTCTGGCCCCAGCAGCAGCACTGCCAGGAGCAGCACGGCCACCCCGGCTGGCTCGGCCCAGGAGAGCAGCCGCGGGCGCCAGGGGCACCCAGGCCAAGTGCGGAGGCTGAAGATGATGAAATACACACATGGACTCCCAGGAAACTGCAGGCCTTTCAGATCGGTTTGATTCGAAGGAAGACCTAATTTATGGTCTGTGGGGCCCCCACCGAGCATCTGCTTCAGAACTGGGTGACCAAAGACACCCCTCACCAAGGCAACGATCAGAGAAGCTGAAACGCACACCTGTGAACATCGGTGTGACCCGCCAGGCCAGGCTCACGCTGGGCTGTGACCTGAGGAACGAAGGCGTGACACTGTGATGGACATTGCTAGAAAACGTATAAAATCATGTAAAAAAGCCTTTCTCCCAGGAGCATTATTCTTTGGAAGGATGTGTTTCCTGGGCAGCTGTTCTAAACGCTGCTCAAATACAACCCTAGGTTTTCCGTCGACGAGGCCGCGGGTTCCCAAGGGGAGCAGCCAGCAAGCAGGCAGGGGTCCGGCAGCTACGGCAGCGGCTGGTAGTGCCCCCGGCACACTGCGGTCCCCGGGCCCCCTCTGCTCCCGCCACTCATGCAGCCCCTCGGCACCCCTGGGCTGCTCTTCTGACCCATGCCAGGCCCTCTTCCCTTCTGCCTGTGGGGACCACCAAACACTGGCCGCACCCCGAGGGCTGCTGGCCTAAGCCCCCAGCGCGGGAAGCACCCACCCTGGAACGCTGGCCACTGCGGATGTGCCTCGGCCGCACGTTTGTCTCTCGAGGACAAAACAGCCTTCTATTTGTTCAAAGAAAAAGCAAAATCAAGAGTGAAATATGTTTCTCTACTTTAATGGAAAAAAGTAGGTGGAAAAACTAATGAAAAATGAAAAAATAAAAAGCTGTTTGGGGCCATTTTTGTTCTCCTTTAGACAGGGCTGACTCACCAGCACAAACAACATAAAATTCTGTCCGCCCCTAGGGCTTCCCTGAGGCGGGTGTTTATCTTGGAAAGGGGCCAGGGGCAGGGGGTGGGGCGGGAGGGGCTTCTGGCAGGTGCGCAGTGGGAGTCCCTCCTGGTCATCCCCTGGACCTGGACGGCCTCCAGGAACCCCGTGTGAGGCTCCGTGCCTTGGACAATGCCCTCGGCCACCACACCACGAATGACATAGTCAGTTACCGCGCCACTGTTGTGACAAGTGACACAGATGGGAAGCCCGGGATGCGGACAGCTGGCCCGCCTGCGTGTGGGCTGGGGCAGTGCCAGGCCTTAGCCAGAGAAGGTGCCCCGGGCCCATCCTCCCTCGTCCCTCACCAGGGGTTCCCGCGGGCCCTGCTTCATCAGGGGCAATGTCAAAGCAGCGGATGAATGGCTTGAATGGCATCTCCAAAGAGACATGCCCAGGTGCTCACCCCTGCTACCTGTGTATGACCTTATTTAGGAAAAAAATCTTTGCAGATGTGATCAATGAAGGATCTTAAGATGAGATCAGCCTGGATGCCCAGGTGGGCCCTAAATCAGTGACAGTGACACACAGGGGACAGACACAGGGAGGAGAGGGGACCGTGTGAGCCCAGAGGCAGAGGCTGAGGGATGCCACAAGCCCAGGACGCCTGGAGGCCCCGGTGCTGGGCAGGCAGGAAGGACCCTCCCCCAGAACCTCGGAAGGAAGCGCGGCCCTCGCCTGACTTTGGAGCCCAGACGGTGAGAGAACCTGTTTCCGCTGTCCCCTCACTGTCTCTGGTGATTTGCTGCGGCGGCCAAAGGAGCCTCCCGCAGGGTCCACTTTTGATTCTATTGCTGTTTGTCACTCGTTCTGCAGGAGGCAGGGTGGGAAGGAGGGGCTGCCCGGGAGGCTTTCAAGGAGTTTGCTGCGAGCCCCGGGGGAAAGGGAGGCAGGGGCTGCAGGCGCCTGAGGCCAGGGGCCACGTGGGCACGTTTCGCCCTAACCGTTTTGCACGCTGCGCTCTGGGGTTGACACATTCCGCAGAAACCGGATGCTCGGGTGGGGAGCTGGCGGCAGGGCCAACATCCTCAACAGCCGGGAGTCAGGGCGACTGGCTGGGCCAAGGGCCAGGCGTGGGGTCGGCGGGGCCCGTGCAGCCCCGACCCCTCGGAGGACAGCGGTGGCTCTGGATGCTGGGCAGCGAGCAGCCTGCAGGCAGGCAGGGGCCCTGGAGCACTTCTTGTCACTGTCCCTTCTCAGTGACATTTCCCAGTGGTGACCGGCTTGTCAGGGGCTTTGGGGTGGTTGGTGGTGGTTCTGAAACCGAGGGGAGTTGTAAATGGCCCTCCAGGCAGCATGGGGCATCTGACAGGACACAGGGCCCATTGGGCGAGCAGGGCCACCTCAGAAGGGCACAGACGTGGGTAGTGCCCTGCTCAGCTGGAAAGGGGGTGCCCATCCCCATGGGCTGGGGGAGGGACTAGCAGCAAGCGGGGTCCTGGGGCCACTGCCCGGGCGGAGCTTGGGGACACTGTGCTGAGTGTGTAAGCCGCTCACCAAGGACAGGCTCTGTGTGACTGCTCTTCTGTGAGGCCCCCGGAGCCGTCAGGGTGACCAGGACGGCAGGTGGGAGGGTGGGCACCAGCCAGGGAGGGGCCGGGGAGCTGGTGTTCAGGGGACAGAGCCTCAGTGTGGGGAGGTGGAGAGGCCTGGAGGTGAGGGTGTGGCAGCCACACGCAGTGTAAGTGCACGTGGGGACCACTGAGTGACCGCTGAGGATGGGCCCAGAGGGACCAGGGTGTGTCACGGGATTCACCGCTGTTAAAGGCTAACAGACAGACAGATAATAGACGGATGGCAGGCGGTGTGATGGCAGGAGGAAGCAGGACCCCCCTGGGCTCCCTCCTCCCACCTGGACCCGGCGCGTCATGACTTCTGCTCCAGAGAACCGGGGATGTGGGGTCAGGTGGCCCCCTGGGATGCTCACGGGCTCCAGCTCAGCTCTGCCACCTGGGCGCCATGAGGCTCTGCGGCCCAGACCCCTCGCTCGGCTGTGTCGTGGGTGGCGGGGGTGGCCTTGGGGGTCTGCATCCCCCAGCAGCCCCCCACCCAACGCGCCCGAAGGTCCCCGGGCTCCTGTGGGTCGGGGAGTGATGGCCCCGGAACATCTGCTGAGGGACCCAGGCCAGCCCCGCCTTGGGAGCTCCGGAGGGTCCCCACCGACCACGGCACCTCCTCCTGCCCTGACAGGACCTGCCCTCAGCCTGAGCCTCAGCCACGGCCTCCCTCCTCTGTGACTCCGCCCGGAGGCCCCGCCGGGACCGCAGCCCCCCTCCCGGCCTCACTCACGAACTCCCCGCCCTGGGACGCGGCACTGGACGGGATCCACGCAGTCCCGCCCAGGGCTGCAGGTGCCAAGGGAAGGCTCTGCGGGTGGGGGTGGCAGCCGTCTGATTTTTGTTTGGTGCCACCCAGGCCTCAGAATTTTCTGCTCACATTTTGATGACACAGTCCAGAGTCACCTTAGGTTGCAAGCACAGTCTTGATCCCAAAATTAGGATGCCCTGTCCCAGGCAGGGGCAGCACAGCAAACCTGGAGGCATTCGGTCCTGGCCCTCCTGGCCCAGCCCCGCAGGGTTGGGTGGGGGTGGGGGAGGCCAGGGGACGGGGCTTCGGTGCTTGGCGGTGGCCTCATGCTCCTGCGCTGGTGTTTGTTAAGGCAGCAGCCCTTTGTGGGTGGCATGGCCCGGGGCTGCCCCAGCCGCAGCCAGCAGACCCTGACTGGTGCCCTCCCACAGGCCTGCCAGGTGGTGGACACGGACTCTCCCCCTGCAACACCTCTGTCCAGGCCTCCCTCCTTGCCTCCAGCCTCCTTCCGCAGAGGCGGCCCCACGCCAGCCGCCTCCCCTCCCGGGACCACAGGACACACTTGTCCCAGTGCCACACTTCCCTGGATGGCTGCCAACACCCCGGCCAGCTTCTCCCTTGCCCTCTGGATTCCCTGGTCCGGGTCACACCCAGGCCTCTCCTGGGAGCGCATCCTGAAGCTCTTCCAGTCGCTGCCCTTGAGCCCCTCACCAGCTCAGGACTAAAGCTTGCCCCCCACCCCCCAGGCCACTGCTTCCAAGGAGATCCTCCCCCATCCCACCCACCCCCACCGCCTTCCTCTCCCCGAGGACCCACAGGTGCTGCTGCCTCCCACGGGGCTGGGGTCCGGCAGTCGTCGTGCTGACACTGGCTGGGGAGCAGGGGCACTTGTCAGTGGAGAGGCGCTTGTGCTGTGGGCATGCGACTGGTGTGGCATTGGGCCTGCCCTCGGCAGGGCCTGTGTGGGGGCTGCAGTGAACCTGAAAACTTGATCTTCGACTCCGTTTCATAAGTGGAGGCTGACGGGACAGCCGTGCGCCGGGGCCTGGGACTGCAGCTCGACACAGGCCCACCTCCGCTGCCCTCCTGCCGCCCTCGGCTCCCCGGGCGTGGCCTTTAGATGGTCCCTCTCCCCCTGGGATCCACCCCCAGTCTCCTTTCGCTCCATATTTCATGTGACTAATCTCCCCTTCCACAGTGTCTAATCTGCTATTGAGCCCACCTACTAGAGATTATTATAAATTTCAACTCTATTTTTAATTTCTAGTTCCATTTGGATCCTGAATCCTTGCTCTTTGCTTATATTTTTAACCCTCTATTTGATTTCTCAAAACGTGTAAGCCTCTTCCTAGTCCACGGTCATTTCACAAACTTGGTCAGCCCCAGCTGACTCCCACTCAGGGACGGACACCCAACACAGCCTCTGCCCCAAACAGGAGCCCGGATGCAGGGGCCCGGCACAGGGCCGCGGCCTCCTTACCCCCAGGCCAAGCCCTGCTCCCTGCCGTTAGAGCAGGCTTCTGAGATTTCAAGGCCCGCCACATGACACTTCTGTCTGCTCCCTGACCTGTGGGGTCCCCGGCGTGAGCTGACCCTGGCATGGCCTCTCCTCTGATCACGGGGGCCTCCCCTGGCCTGCCGCCTTCTGCTCGGCCACCTTCAAGGCAGCTCATGCCTGCCGGCCTTCCTTGCACCCTCTTCTTCGGTACCAGCTTTAGTGAGGTGTGATTCACACACCGAACAACTCAGCCATTCAAAGCATCAGTGCAGTGAGTGCGTGGCCTTCCATGTCTGGGGTCCTTCGCTCTGCAGGGGGTCTTCAAGGTCCAACCACGTTGCAAAGTGTGGGCTTCATTCCTCCTTAGGGCCAAACAACATCCCATTTCACGGATAAACACTTTTTGTTCATCCATCATCTGGCTGGACACAGGCTGCAGAGTCGTCTCCCTTTTTGCCCACTATGAATACCTCCTGGCCCACCCTGGCCATGCCCTGCTGTGGCCTGAGGCTGCCCTCCAGCCTCTACACACTGCCTGGCCTAACCCTCCCTGGCTGCACACCCTGTCCCCGGCTCCCTGGCACCTCACCGGGGCAGGGGGTGCCACAAGCGCCCACCCTCACTGGTGCCCCACTGGGGGGCAAGGTGCAGCACCCCTACATTCAGCTTCCCAGGTGTTTGCCTAGAGGGGCAGGTTCCCTCCTGGGAGAGGATGAGGACCCCACCCCCCACCTGCCAACCACCTCCACTTCCTGCTCTGATTGTCCAGAGCAGACAACGGGAGTACCACGGAAGAACTCGGCCACCTCTCAGAATGCCCTGGAACACAGGGACATCTCACGCCTCGTGCCCACAGCTCTGCAGCTTCAGCCGCAGCCGCTCCACCCCGCCACCTCCAGGGGCTGTCAGGGTTACCCAACAAAGACTCCCGAGGGAGGGTAGGAGACAGGGTGCTCGACATCCAGTGACAGGACGGGGACCCAGAGCCCACAACCCCGGGGGGCTACAGCTGGGCAGTGGGGGTGCAGGCCAGGGCGGGGAGACCCCAGCCCCAGGCTGAGCTGAGGCCCCATTCAAACCTCAGCACTGCTGCCCGACGCCCTGCGTGTGTGCCAGCTCCTTGACCTCGATGTAATCTTCCATTTACTGACCTGTCAAATGTGAGCAGGGCCTGCATCTTCGTGGCCGGACTGCCCAACAGTTCAGGGGAATGAGGGACACCGGATGCCATGGGCAGTTCTCCAGCTGAGTGGACAAACAGAATCCTCCCCTCACCCCCAGACAGGACTCTCCTTGCCCCATGTCACGAGTGAGGAGACAGGAGGACGGGTCGTCATGCCTGTGGGGGCACCAGGCCAGGAGCAGAGCGGGGTGCACTCCCTCACCAACCAGTAGCAGCGCTGTTTGGTGTCAGGTGAAACAGTGGTTTGTGAGGGCACTGGGGCCCCCACGCTATGGGGTCCCCCAGGGTATTCCCACCTTCCAGGTTCTCTGCTCATCCCTGTTCCACAGCTCTGCACAGAGACCCTCCCCGGGGGTGACTGGCAGCCAGGACCAGCAGGGGGGCTCCGGCCCAACACCAGGGCACCTCCTCAGGGCTCCCCCAGACCAGGAAGATGGCGCTAGGCCGCCATGCCAGCCCATGGCGGGCAATCTCTCTCCCCATACCCCGTACCTCCCAAGCCCTCCGGCACCCCAGCCTGCACCCTGTACCCAAGGGAGGGGCACAGAGCACCGAGATGGCAAGGCTTCATGAGTTTCAAAGTCGGCTCTTCAGGAAAGCTGACATTTTTTAAAACTAAGGCTTTTGATTCACTAGACAGGGGCCCTTTTGGACAAAAAAAAGAAAAACTAAAGTCCCCCAAACTCAGCACATAAAGTTTATGCCAAACACAAGAGACCATTAGGAACGCCTGAGATTCCCACTGGCCAATCCAAGTATCAGGTGAAACCATCCGGGGAGGGCACGTTCCTGAGTCCACGAGGAAATGCCAGCTGAGGAGGACCAGTGCCCACCCCAACCCCTGGGTGACCAGCACAGGGGCCAGTCATGCATGGCTACCCTGCCCATCCATGTTGACCCTGAGGGGTCCAGAGCTGAGCACCGCAGCGCTCCAAGGGACAAGCCTCCTGCAGGGCAGAGAGCCGAGCCCAGGCGCCTGGGCTGGGGCAGCTGCCCTGGGAGCACGGGCCTGTGCTCGGCCACCCTTGCAGCCAGCGATGGAAACAGGCCCCGGCCTGCCCCAGAGCTGGGGGCACCGACCTGAATCAGGCGCGAAGGCAAGCGGCCTGGCGTAGCCAGCGACCGCCCCAAGGAGTGGCAGGCAGTATGAGCAGATGGCAGGAGAGTGCAAGTCGGGGAGAACGGTGGGGACACGGGCAGGGACGACCCTCCACCTCCCAGCCCAGGGCCAGGAGAGCAGTGATTAGAAACCCCAGCGCCAGTCTAGAAGGATCCTCGGGGGGGGGGCCGCCAGGAGCAGAGAATACTACCTTCGTCGTGTGTGGTTAAAGAAGGAGGCACAGACTCCAGGAGCGGAGGGGCCTGCTGCAGGCAGAGCCCACACAGAGGCCCACAGCGGGTGCTCGGGCTCCCTCGGTCGCCCACTGCGTGGAGACTGCAGCGTCCGCCCTTGCCTCTGCTGCATGTGAGCCGCGAGCCTGGGTACCGGCCGGTGGGGAGGGAGGGGCAGAGCTGAGGCCCAGGGTGCCAGGCTCTGGGGACAGGTCCTCTCTCCTCAGCAGGGATGGCAGAGCCCCTTTCAATGGCAACCACAACCACTCTGGGGTGGCCCGGACACTGCCAGCCTGGCAGAGGGGCCTCCCAGGGCCAGGAGGTACCATGCACAATGGTCATGTTCACCTGCTCGGGCAGCACAACGGGCAAGGGTGTGGTGGTCTGGCTGCCGAGCTGCGGCACACAGGGGGTGCCGGGGACACCTCCTCCTCTGCTGGGCTACACCAACCGTCCTGACCACCATTCCCTGGGGGACCGCAGGCACCACCTGAGCCCCCTGGTGGTGGGGAACATCAAATACCAGGCCTACGTGCAGGCCTGAGCCCGCTGGCGACCACCAGTGCCCAGCCCCGCCTCTCCTGTCATCCCTCCCCAACACAGCCGCCAGTGCTGCCGCCAGGGTGTGTGCCCTGCTCTGCCTGCCGTCCCTCCTGCTGGCCATGCTGGCCTTGTCTTGCACGACGCAACTGGGGACCCCGGCTGTGGAGGGCTCCATGGCAGACCCACTTCCGCACCCTCACGCTGCTCAGTTTCACACCCACCACGGCCTATCCAGCGCAGTCCCGACCCAGGTCTGACGAGGCTCCAGCCCGTGGCGGCGGCAGCCCACGTGGTCCCGGTCCTGCTGACCATGGTCTTCATGCTCCCCATCTGCACCCCACCCCTCGGCATCTCCAGGCTCATCCTCTGCTGTGTGGACCTGCCCGCAGCAGACGAAGGCTCTGTTCGGCTACTTCGAGGGCTTCTCCTTGCCCGTGAGCGCTGGCACAAAACGCATCATCACCCTGATGGGCCCTCGGGGCAGCAGGAGCCTGTGGGAGCCCCTGGGTGTCGCGCTCTGCGGGGCGCTGCGGGAGGACCCGAGCAGGTGGGGAGGGAGACGCCCTCCACAGGCACCACCCATGGGGTCCGACAGCCCCTGCCCTGGGCCGCCCACCCTCGCTGGCCGCACAGCCCTGCCCACGGCTCCCTGCCCGTTCCTGACCCTGAGCGTCCAGTGGTCACTCAGCTGGCAAACATCTAGTGCCACTCAGGTCCCGAGGGTGAGAGCAGGACATGGTGAGAAGGGCAAAGAGTTCCTCAGTCACAGCCACACAAAGACTCCTGGCACCAGAAACTGAGTCTGTCCACTGGGCACTCAGGACACCCCACAGCCTTGGGCAGGTTCTGAGGCCCCCCAGGTCCAGTGCCAACCCTTCAGTTGCTGGATCATTGAGAGAGAGGTCCCCGGGACCTGAGGGGGAAGCTGGGCACCTAGGGGAACACGGGGCTGGGGGTCTGTTAAGGGCAAGTTATCAGCTGGTGAGGGGATGGTTCTGTGCACACGGGGCTTTCCTGTGCACACAGCAGCTGAATGCCAGCATGGTGACAAGTGGGGAGAGGGCAGCCCAAGCACAGCCACGTGAGGTGCACAGACGGAGCTGGCAGGGGGCCTGTGGCAGGCCGTGGGCATGAGGTGTGGGTGGAGAGAGCAGCCAAGCCAGTGCAGCAGGGCAGGGTGCAGGCCAGGGAGACTTGAGCTGAGCAGCCTAAGAGTGCCAGCCAGGCAGGGGGGTGACTGGGAGGCCAGGCATTCAGGGCCACATGATCCGTCAGGACCACGGGCCTCTGGGCCAGCCCTGTTCACCCAGAGGCCTGCAGACCACAAACAGGTTGCTGGGGTGGGCACAGCCCCTAGGTGACTGAGACCCTGCTGGGTTAATGTCCCCCGGGAGGAACCTGGAGCCCGGTGGTTTCTGCCAGTGGGCACCCTGCACAGACCGTGCATGCAGCAGGCATTTAACCTGTGCTTAACAGAGAATAACGCTGCCCTGTGCTGGGCCTGATGCTAACAGCACACTGGCACATGTGCCCTGGTCATTCACCCTCTCTCTCCCTTGGGGCCCTTCCCCACCTCCTCCACACTGATTCACAACACACGCGCCCCTGAACCCCCCACCTGCTTCATTGCTCCAATGTGTCCTCCCCTGGCTGATTCACTGCCTACACCTATGTGTTCACCAGAAGGGCAGGGGCTGTGCCCACAGTCACTGCTCTGTCCCAGGCCTAGGATGATGCTGGCACAGACGGGGCCCAGGACATGTTCAAGGAACCCCCCCCCGAGTTGGCAGGCACGCCGTGGGTGTCCAGGCAAGAGAGGGGGTAGCAGTGACAGCAGTGGGGCAGGGTGGTACCCAGCGCTCAAGTCACACTCATCTCCAAGCGACATACCCCGTGAGGGTCCCCCCTGCACCTGGGTGGGAGTGCTGGCGTTCGTGTGGGCACATGGCACTGGGTGAGCACGAGTAGTGAGTGTGTCTGCCAGCTGGTGTTGCACGTACAGTGCATGAACTCCACCCTCCTCAGCTGTGCTGGCTACTGGTCTGTAGTTTTCTCTCCGCTTTGTAAGGCAAACTCCCTGAGAGGAAGGTCTCTTTTCAACCTTGCCCAGGGCTGATGGCAAAGACTGCCATCTGTGAACAAAACCTGACCCCAGAATGATCAAGTGACCCTGTGTGTGAGCTGCCCCGTCACTTTATCTAGTCTGAGGCTATGTTGCTAGGAGCACGTGGATTCAGGAGTATTGTGTCACCTGGGGAATCGGAGCCTTGGTGACCCTGGTTATATTACTTTCCCTACAGTCCATTTTGGCTGATGTTGACACAGTCCCACCAGCTTTCTTTGGGTCAGCATGAACATGGTGCGTCTTCTCGCCCGCTTTGATTTTCAACCTTTAAGTATCCTTAGCTGTTAAATGTATCCCATGCAAATAATTCAGAATTGGGTTGAGTTGCAACTCTGAAAATTAAACGTACCACCACAATAAGCAGGCCTGTGTCCTGACCCACGAGTCAGTCCTGAGTTGTGCAGGTGGGCAGGTGGGCAGGCCACACCCCCTCTGAGGGGTCACAGTGATGGGGGGAAGGACTGGACTTGGCTTTGAGCCCCGTGTCCACCACCACTTCCCTGCATGCCCGTGGGCCCGTCTGGTGCCTCTCTGAGCTGGCTTCTCACCTGTAAAATGCGGACACCACCTCCCCCCTCTGCCAGGCTGCTGGGGCGGGGAGGGGTGCGTCCATCCATCACTGGGCACTCAGGAGGGGTACCCCTGAGGTGGGAAGCTGGGCCCGCCCGGTGAGGGGCCTGCGGTGGGTGAGGGCTGCGGCTCCCCTGCCTGGCCCTCCAGACCCCCTCCACCGCCCCCAGGTCCACCCAGGCTCAGGCAAACGAGGCCAACCCCTGCGGGGACTCGCAGGCTCTCAGACGACGAGCTCTCGCCCCAGATAAGCCGCGACTTATTTGGCTCTTGCATCTCCTGTATTTCATTTTCCATGGCAGGACTGTTCTCCATCCTCGATTTCACTTCAGACTTGGGAAGCCCAGGGCCTGCGTATGCCTGAGACAGCCAGGGGTGGTAAACAGAGGGCAGGCGGGGTGGCGGGACGCCGGGATGACCAGGGACGGCCGGGAGGGGGGGGGCCTGGATGGCCAGGCGGACCAGTGTGTCCGTGGGGTGCCGGCACCACAGCCTTAGCTCCGGTCCGCTCTGCTGTGGGGCCTCCCGCTCGCGGCTCCCTGCGCTCCCTGTCGCCAAGGGGAACCTGGCTACCTGCATCTGACAGGGGGCACCAGGAGCGCACCCAAGGGGAGACACGGCACCGAGAAGGGAAATGGCCTGTCCCCCACTAAGCCTCCCTCCCTCTCAAACTCCACTCCCTTCCCAAGCAGGGCTAGGAGAGGAGGGAGGGCCACTCAGAGTCCCAGGCCACCGCCAAGGGGACGAGCAAGCTCAGTGGGTACCCCCTGTGCCACCAGCACAGTGACCCGCATGGTGCCCCACCCTCCAAGAGACCAAGGTGGCCTCCCAACCAACTGGGCTCCTCCTCTGCACAAACAAAAGGGGCAGCGGGGGGGGGGAGAGGTCAGGACCCTGGGCAAGCCCTGCCCGCCCTGCCCCACCAGGTCCCCTGGCTGCCAGGCCCCAGCTTTGCCCCACCTGCACCCTCCACCTGCTACGAGGGCCGGTCTGTCCAGCGGGTGAAGCGGCAGGGGCACATGGCTGGGGGAAGGATGCATGTAGCTGGGGCCCCTACCTCACACTGAGAAGCCTCTGGTGCAAACTGCTACCAGCAGTCTGCTGCCCACCCTGGCTTCCCTGGCCCCAGGGTGCCTGAACCAACCCACCCCTACCAGCCTGGTCAGCGGGCCCCCGAGCATCAAGACCCCACCACCCCCAGCTGCGAGAGTGAGCCGGGACTTTCCTTTCCGGGGAATTTCTCCAAGGGAAAGATTTCGCTAAAGTCACCCATAGGGTTACAGTGAAGTTTAAATGAGACAATGCGGGTGAAGACAGTGTGATGCCAGACACGTAATGCAAACTCAAAATGTGACCACCGCCCAGCCTTGACAAGCACAGAGGCAGGCCCCAGGGGCCAGGTGGCGTTCGGGCCACGCAGGGGGGAACTCTGGGGAGTGGCTCTGTTACCTCGGCCCTTTGCAGCGGAGCAGCCGCGGTGGGGGAAGGCCCAGAGGCTTGGCACAAAGCCGGGGTGGGGGGCAGCAGACGTGGACCTCGAGGCCAGGCACTCAGCTCAAGCCCATGAGCTCAGCTCCCATGCTCCTCTGCCTCAAGGACGAGAGCGGAGGTGGGGAGAGCAGCCCCCTTCCTACCTCACTCCTGTCGGCGGATCCAGAGGCAGCAGCAAGCCACACGGGCGAACACCGGACAGACCAACAGCCCCTCGCTGCTCTCCATGGCAAGTCAACAGACCTCAGGCCTGAGTCCAGCAGCACCAGGGAAGCCCGAGAGCAGGGCTGAGGTGCCATCCTGGCAACTGGAGAAAACGGGAACGCACACACCGGCCCGAGGGCCCCCAGCTCCCCCAGCAGAAGGCTGGGGAACTCTGCACCAGGCGCACTGGTTTCCTGGGGCTCCCGTAACAAAGCACCACGACCTTAGTGGCTTAAAAAAACCCACATTCATGACCTGACAGGCCAGGAGGTCTGAGGTCTAAAAGGGGTCAGCAGGGCTGCTTCCTTCCGGAGGCCACAGGACAGAGCCTGTTTCCTGGCTCTTCAGTTTCTGGGGGCCGTGGGCACTCCTGGGCTGGCGGCCCCTCCTCCGTCTGCAGAGCCATCAGCACGGCGTCATCGAGCCGCTCCCTCTGCTCCGTCACCAGACCACCTTTTGTGTCCCTCACATGCCTCCTCCCTCTCCTAGGGAGTTATTAGGCCCACCTAGTAAGCCAGAATAATCTCCCATGTCAAGATCCTTGACCTAATTCTATCTGCAAAGTCCCTTTTGCTATGTAAGGTCACATATTCCCATGTCCTGGAGAAGAGGACATGAACATCTTTGGGGGACCATTATTCTATCTACCACAGTGTGGAAAACAGGCTCCCCAAGAGGTAAGACCTAGCGCGGGGAGGCCTTTCCCAAAGAAACCAACGGACACCTCCGTGTAAGCTGACAGAGGAATCAGTGGTCGACTCACCTGCCTCCCCCCATGACACAGGTTCCCGCCGGCTCCTGGTGCTACACTCTCAAATAGGACCAGGGGCCCAGATACATGAGGAGCATTTAAGCACGAAAGACTAGAAGCCAAACAGAGAGGAGGAGGGGACTCGGGGGAAAGAGGCCATGCAGTGTCCTGAAGGACGGAGCCCAGCAGGAGAGCGCGCCTTCTGGCCCCGGGGTGCAATCACCTTCACTCTGGGACCCACGCACCAATCCAAGTGAAGCTAGATAAGGAAAAGTTCTCAAAAAAAAAATCTACTTTCCATTCACTCTTTCTCAGAGAGCCACTAACAGCAAAAACCAAGACACACTTTTAGTTTAGTGGAAGTACTCGGGAATGAATTCATGAAAACAACGGAAAATTCAACGAATGAGGAAAAAACAAGGCAACTAATAACTAGGAAAGACAGAGTTACACATGAAAGAAACGTGGCCAGAGTTCACCACACTCTGTCCTCTGTCCTGATTCGCCACCCTAGGGAAGCCGGTCTGATCCAGTGGCCTTAAATTACGGAGCCAGTGACACCCACTTTCTATCCTATCACCCACATCCCTCTTGAGCTTCAAACTTGCGTATCAACCTGGTTTCCTAAGTCTCTCCCTGGGTGTCTAGTCGGCTCGGCACACTTAGGGCACCACCAGCAGAGGCCCTGCTGCCCTGTCCAGCCCTGGTTCCAAACGCTGCTCCTCTCCGGCTCTGCTCCGTCTCAGGGACCATAACCCTACCCACCTGGCTGCCAAAGCCAAAACCCAGGAGTTAACTTAAGCCTCTTTCAACTCCTCACCTACCACACCATTTCACGGTCCTATAGGTTCCACCCTAAAATATGTCCTGCACCCGCCAGCTCTCTCCATCCACCCTCTCCCTGCCCCTGCAGTCCATTCTCTACAAGCCCCGGGGCCTGCCAAGAACCCTCCTGCAGGGGGTGTCCAAGTAAAACCCAAGCTCCCTCCCACCCCCCCGACCCCCCTCCCACCGCTCCGACCCACTCACCCTCGCCTTCTAGCTCCTCAACAGCATCCATCCCGCTCCTTTCCCAGGCCATTTGCACTGTTTTTCCTTTTCCGGTTTTATTAGGAATCAGTGACTCACATCCCTGCTTAAGTTTAAGGTGCACAGCGGGAGGGGCCGATGTACACATGCTGTGAAAGGGTCACCACGAGAGGCCCAGCCGACACTGCACGCGCCTTCTCTTGACCCCAAACGTCTCTGCATGGCTGCCCCTTCTCAACATGCAGGTCTCAGCTCTCACGTCACCTGGGTGT